AATTTGCCATGTTCGTGATGCTACCGAGATGCTCCCAAAAAATGTTACGGAGATGCTCCGGGCGCAGCTATACTAGGTCCCTGCTGGTATTCATCCCAAATATTTGGAACACGTAGACCAACTGTATTCACAGCCGGGTAGTTTCGCGTTAAACATTGAAAAATGGAAAATGAAAAGCTAAAAAAAAAGGCATGTTGCCTCCTTTGATCCCTAACTTTCGCTTCCGCCATTTCATTTCGAGCAAAAAAGCGAGGGGACTGTATAGAAGGAATCAAGATATGGTATAGATACACAGGTATTGTACAGAAGGAATCAACGACACAACCAAACAGTGGAAAGAGTAGTAAACGAACAGCGTTATGTGAATGAAGAAACAATTTCGTGAAAATATTCACAAATGATTGAAGGGAGTAACCAACTTACCATGTTCACAGGAACAACGGATTATCCGAGATATATACTCGTCCTCCCTGCACAAACGAGATCGAGCTCCCAGATAATCGCGCGGCAAACTCACCAAACAGCTTTTTGGTACCTGTAAAAACAGCTGCTTGAAACTTTTTATAATCAAACAACACATCATTCACTGAACCTCGATCCCCTGGCCCCCTCCGTTTCTTTTAAAATTTTTTCCCTAAAGAAATTCTCTTACTTCGGCAGTATTTTTCCCAGAGAACTCCCCCAGCCCCGCTTCTACGGCACGGATCCCAAAAGAATTCCACACCCAAACGTCAGTGTTCACCGGAAATCTTCCAACCTCACAAGAAACTCTTCCCGAAAAAAAGTCTGTTCCTCCATCCCCCCTCCCCCCACCCATCGACCACTCTTAACTTATCAAGAGCTACTACACCTCGGCTCGAGTCGGTTCGTCTGATGATTTGTGGTGCTTTAGCCTTCTAGCGCTTCGCTCTATCATCTCCGCCAACACTATTTTCACGGCGCCGCTCGCTGGAACTTTGCCAGACGCGCTGGGTAGCGCTGCCCGATGTCTGGTCGCTGAAGTACGTGGCTCGAGGAGTGATGGGTGGGAGGACTGGACGTGGTTGGGGTTGGTTGTAATTGCTTAGATATAGTTCAGAGGGCGCGATTGAGGCCAGGATAGTGGGGAGGAACGAAGTTGCTGGATAGGAGTTCAGGATGATAAACGGTGATAGCGGTTGGAGGTGATGGGTACCCCGATGCAGATCTGGAGGCAGGGGTTGGGGACGGGATACAGGAGGGGAAGAAGGATGCTAGTGAAGAGTTCGAGGCAAGAACTGCAGATAGCAGTAAAGAGGAAAATAAAACAACAGTGAGATTTGTGAATAAAAGGAATTCATTTACTGAAACTTATGCTTAGATGAAGCTGGAAGCAAATAATTTCGGCAAGATTTACTGGAGCTTATGCTTAGGTAAGCTGGAGGCAAATAATTTCGACAAGATTTACTGAAGCTCATACTTAGGTGAAGCTGATGGCAAATAAGTTCAATTGGATCACACAAGAATTGCAGACAATTCCAAGGTGTTTCCTCTTGCAGCCTTTCTTTATTTGTGAAATTGATGCTTAGGTAAAGCTGAGAGCGAATAAGTTCCATGAAGTGGGCAAAAACAGAGTAGAATGGATGCCTGGGAATGAAGTCAGCTTTTGATCCTCCTTATATCCACCTATCCTAGCCCCCTTCCCTGCTTCGAACGAAACCCGTCACATACTACCCCCACTCCCACCTGCCACATTCAAATTACCGCCATCCGCCGTGGGGCAGCCCTACCTGCCGTCGTGAGAAAAAAATTTTTAGCGGCTTGTGTATGGGACAAGCCGAGCCGAGTTTTTGTAATTACCGATTTATCGGAAGTCTGGGTCTAGGATTCACCGGGTGTGTGTGTGTCTGTGCGCCTGCCTGGTCAACTGTTCATAGTCGAGGAGTGTCCAGGTGTGGTTACTTATCGCCGGGAAGTTGCTTTTCTCTATATTTGCTAGTACCTTATTATCCCGAAGACGAAATTTGGCGTGCCCCCCCCCCCTCTCCCTCTCCAGTCGGCAAGGGTACCTTGCTGTAGTCTAGGAGTAGGAGAACATTAATAGCAAGATGGTGATCCTCAGGGATTTCTTGGCCCAAACTACGGCAGAGTTTTTTTTTTTGGCAAACTGTTGGGCTAAAGTTCTGCCAAGCGCTTTTTTCGGCGAACTACTGAGTTGGTAATCTCTTCAGGAGACGAATCCGAACGTCTGGATCGCCAGCAGATTGACCACCATCATTAGTCAAAACAACTGAAATTTGCCATAGGCTACAGATGTATAATTGAACCGTGAATTAACAGCTGGCCGAGAATTTACTATTTTATAACTTTATAGCTTTTCTATTTCTACCATTTCTTCTGTTTGCTTATGTTCTTTCATTTCTTCCATTTCGTTCATTTCTTCTGATTTACATCTCTTTTGTCTTAATTAATTCGCACACCTTACTAAATTATTTTGTTACCACAATCGTCGTACTGACAGAAGTCCAACTGTAGTGACGGTAAGAAATGTATACGACGCTTAATGAACCGAAACATTTCTTATTCACTTTAATAATTCTTTAGAACCCTTTCATCGTTTTCATATTTTCTTTTTAACCCTAAATATCTTAGGTAGCATTTTGAAGTATGCGCGAAATCGTAGGGCACCACAAATCGTCGCAATTCTACAGCTAGTTCTTCTTCAGTCGTTTTTGCTGCACTGCACGAGTTCCGCGGTAAAAATTAAACTTTTTGATGTGTTTGTGTGTTGTACTGATGATTCCAACTCCTATCCGCATGCACTGTTCGGTCTGAGTTTACAGCTAAGGGATGAAACACAGACTACACCATAAAATGTCTTCATACACATAACATTCAAGTGAAATCCTTCTATTCTTCTATTTCAGAATTGGGCGCCAAATGCTTCCTCGTCACGTGTTGGCCTCACTACAAATCGTTGGTGTACGTTCGCTAGCGGATAGCACCGGCATTTCGGCGTTCCCGGTTTCGACTGTGGTCAGAAAAGCACCGGATGATGTGCTGAACCCGCCGAAGCCGCGAACTGCGATAAAAGTCCCGGGAGGTTCAGCAGGGGTTTGTCTCTTTTTTTGCAGTTCAGTGAACCAAATTCGATTTTTGGGAGTTCTGTCACCATCATCATGAGGCAGCGGTCATCGTCTGGAAGAAATACCTTTGAAAACATAGCAAAAGAGGATTAGAGCGCCGTTACGTGCATAGGAAACACATTAACAAATTATGTTTGGAAAATCAGTAAAGCATTTGTAGAATGACCAGCGAGTGGTCGTTTTTGGCAAAAGCGATCACGTGGATTGTTTTCGACTGCTCTGGCATATCGTAAGAAATGTGTGAATACTTGTTTTGGGGTTTTTATCAAAAGTACGCTTCGCCAATAATTGTACTGCAGACGTTAGATCTTTCTGCTTCGTGAGTTAAATTCTGGTTTTATTTAACGATGCAAGAAAGCATCAGGGCAACTTTTAGAACATATTGGCCAAGGGTTGAATTTACTGTAAAACGCCCAACGAGTGGTCGTTTTTGGCACAACCTATCACTCGGACTGCTCTCGGGTGCCTCAATATCTTAGAGGGAATGAGTAGGGATGGCTTGGAGTTAAAATTCTGATTTTATTCAGCGGTGCAAGAAAACTTCAGGGCAGTTGTAAAAAGAAGATATTGGCCAGAGGTTGAACTTATTGTAAATACCCAACGAGTGGTCGTTTTTGGCAGAGGCAACTACTCAGGTCGCTTCCGAGCCCCTTTGTATCGCGTGGGGAATGCATAAGGGTGGATCGGGGTTTACTTGCAGTTTTATTCGGTGGTGCAAGGGTGCCTCAGAATAGCTCTTAAAAGAAGACATTGACTATAGGTTAAATTTTTGACTCTTTTTTTGACGTAAAAATTTCATGAATTGTATTGCAGACGTTGGATCTTTCTGGTGCGCCGATGGATTTGATCCGAAGCCGTCGTGTTCGAATATTTCGACGAGCACGCGAAGCTACCCAGCAGGGTTGGGCAAACACAAAATCGTGGAAAATTGAGTTGGACAATCAAGAAAGATGGGAGAACCCTCTGATTGGATGGTCCAGCACGTATGTTTCCTACATTCGTTATTGCTGAAGTAGAAATTGCATAAACATATTAGAAACTGAGACAGGTTTTCATCTTCTTCGGCAACTAAGTCGGTTTTTATGTCTTTACAAAAAATTTTTTTCAGAAAGTAGTGCTTTTTGGCTGAATCTGATCTCAGTAAGCCGATTATCTCTATTCATTTTCGTAAGGTGCTGTTAAAAATCGGTTAAAAAATAAGAATCCGTGGATTGCTCATATTATTCTTTTGCTCAGCAGGACGCATAGCATATAGTGAGTGCTACAAACGAGAAAGTAAGCGACCACTTGGGTGACCTGTGATGTGAAATGGTGCACGTGCACCAAGGAGGTGCTAGGTGCTGAGGGAAAATTTACGTGGCTCAAGACACCTGTTGCATCATTCGGCGTGTGGGAACATTGTAGTAACATCACTAACATGAGACTTCTATACCCGTTCGAAGCAGTTGTGGTGGTAATTTGTATTAAAAACGGGTTCTTAAGTTTTAATGAAAAATGTTTCCCTGGTTCTGCTCCCCTCGGTTAATGTCCTAGCAGCAAATCGGAGTTAAATTCCTGAAGGATGGAAGTAAGCAAGTTCTGGATTTATAAATTCTGAAAAGCGATGGGAAGGATAATTATTTGTATTTCTATGTGATTGTTCAAGTGAGGGATTACAGAGGCGATCCGCTGAGTAATATCGCGATGGCGCTGGATTTTGCCTCAAAGGAAGATGCAATTCAGTACTGTGAGAAAAATGAGTTCAGTTACGAAGTGATCGAGCCAAATGAGCGCAAAATCGAGCCGAAAACATATGCCGAGAACTTCTCGTGGAACAAACGAACAAGGATAACGAACAAATGATAGGCTAAGCATTGAATGCACGCACCTGAATCGCGTAACACGGAGCCACTATGCGAAAAAAAAAACTTTTAAACTTTACGGATTGGTAAATCAATATTCAGTTTTGCCGGAAAAATTTGGAGAAAGAGGGAGGGGGATTGCGGAAGAAGGATGGGGGAGGAGGGGAGGGGTTTCACTGCTTCCTCATCGTCGGTGAACCGAAGTCAAGGTCTGTGTGTAATAGTGGAGTAAAAAGATTGGAATTAAGTGTCATGTATAAGAAGGCATTTCATGATGCAGTCTGTGTTTCATCCCTTAGCTGTATCAAGGTCTGTGTGTAACTGATGCGAGCTACAGTGATTTTGGCTAAAATTTTTAGGCTTATATTTTATTTCTGTTTTGCGATTTTTTTCAAAAGTACGCTTCTGCAATATAAAGTTCATTTTTATGCGGTCCTTTTTTACTGTTATGAGGTCTTTTCCCTTGTAGGGGATAAGTTTAAACTTTTTTTCTAAAAAATACGCTAACGCTTTCTTTTTTTTTTGTGAAGGGAAAGGGGTCGGAGGAAGGGGAAGGAGGAGGAGGAGGAGGAGAGGAGGGGGCGACGGAAAAGAAGCAAAATTGTCATCTCTGTCGGATAAGCAACAACAAGTATTGCAAATGGACATGGTGAGGATGAAGAGGTGGGAGCGGGAGGTGGTGAGGGAGGTCCGGGAGGGGGGGGGGAAATGAAATATGAAAAATATGCAACATTCTTGTTTGAAATATGAAACATTCTTGTTTCATATTTCAAACAATGGAAATAGGCTCAAATCACGTCTAGGACTGTCAAAAGTCGGTGTTGCTTCGAACGGAATATGGTTTTGAAAATGATAAAAAAGATTATTAGATTTC